TATACTTTCCTTAAGTTCAGTATTATTTTCTGAATAAGAAACCTCAATTACTTATTGGAGAGTATCGTCTTTATGTTCTTTAAGTCACTTACTCCTCCATGTGTGTAAATATATATGATACATAATATATACAAAGAGATATTGTGTCTGTCTGTCTTTGGAAGGTAATATGCTGCTATAAATAACAAAAGGGTAAGAAACACTTGTAGCTTGGCCCAGCTAACTCAAATTTACTGGGCACATAAAGCAAGATTATAACTGCAAGCCTTTAGTTCATTTTTTTCTTTTTTCAATTTAACCAGCTGCTTCCAAACCAAGCAGCCAATCCTAACGAAATGTTTCCTCTGCTGGCTGTACCACATATATTCCATGTATCCTAGACAAATGTCTTAAAACCCGAGTTCCCCACTTTTAAAAGGGATAATAATTCATACTTCAGGAAATTTTTATAAAATTTAAATGTTAAAGACTGTTCATAAAGTATAGTATCTGCTAATATCCAGTCAATGTCAGTTTTTTTAAAAATATTATAAATAATATGCATAATGCCACAAGTTTCAATTGTAGGACTCATGTCATCCTCTTTTGGGAGCTAACCTCCTAGCACACTGCCAGAACATAATATCGAATGAACACTTGGAAATACTTCTTTGACTACTTATAACAATGACACATCACCTTAACCAGTTCAGGATGCAGTTCTGTGACAGAGCACTTTCCTAGCGCACTCAGATCCTGAGATTTGATCCTGAACATCAATGAGGAAAAGCAAAAGTCTGCAAGCATAGTAAAGTGTGAGTCTGGCCAATGGGAAAAGAAGAGGAGGCACTGCTGTCTCCTACAGATTAACCAAGAGCCTCTCCCAGATGCCTATCACAAAGTCAAAACTCCCAAGCTGCCCAGTGCCTTGATGCTGAAAATGATGATGGCAGCCTAAAACCTCAAGTTTTCTCAGTGACTGCTCCTCTCCAATCTCTCTCTGACACTGTACACAGAGATCAACTTAGTCCTCTGAGATTGCTGAAGGAACCAGTCACATGCTGAAGTAAAGAAACATTGCATAACAGGTACATGGGAATCCCTATACTTATAAACAGAATATCACCCTGGGATGAAAAGAACCATAGAACTATGCAGATTCCTCACAGCATTCTCAGTCTACAGACAGAGAAGCCTTCAAGCCTCTACAAAGCAGATTTGGATCCCAACTGTCAAGTGAGATCATTAATTAAACAATCTTTGACGGGAGTCATCAAAAAGGCACATATATCTTTAAAAACAACTCCCATGGTATCATAGGATAACCAGTTTAATACAATGTGCTTTCAGTATGCTTTCCCTTGCCTGGGTGTATTTGACCCCCTAAACTATGAAATAAGCCATGTGGAAGAACTGTGGAGACAAGGTCAACCAATCAAATTATTTAATGCATTTGTTTCCTATCACTACTATAAAATGTGATCACAAATATTGTTCCTTTAAACAATGCAAATGCACATCTGTCTTACAATTTTGTAGTAGGATGTCCATAGCAAACAGCCATGGGCAGGATTCTTCTAGAGGAGAGGGGAAAACCCTTTCCTTTGCCTTTCCCTCGTTCTGAAAGCTACTCAAGTTCCCTGGCTTTAAAGACAGGCAGACTCCCTTCACATACATACTGCACCATACCATATTACACAACACCCCACATACCACACACACCACATACCACACTACATATCACATACCACACACACCACAGACCACACCACACCACACACACCACAGACCATACCTCACTACATAACATATCACATACCACACACACCACAGGCCACACCACACCACACACACCATAGACCATACCACACCACATATACCACAGACCATACCAAACCACACCACACCACACACAGACTACACCACATATACACCACAGACCACACACACCATACACCACACCACAGACCATACCACACCATACCACATACACACCACACCATACACACCACAGACCACACACACTACACACCACACCACACTACACACCACACCACACTACACACCACACCACATACCACACATACCATAGGCCACGGACCACGCCACACTACACACCACACCATATCATGCTCTCTTCGGGCTTTCTGTTCCATCTCTAAAGATCCACATGATCTCACTGGTCCTGCCCACATGTTCCAAGGAATCTCCATATCTCAAAATGAACTGTTGGCAAAGTTAACTCCTCCTTGTTCTGTAATAAATCACACTCACAGGTTCTGGGGATAAGAAAAGAGAGATTTCTGGGGAAATGTTCTTTATGTAACTAGGTTAACATTAAAAGCAGAAGGTTAAAATTAATAGGCTATGGAGTTGTAGGTCCAAGGTCAAAACTACAGTAAACAGTTCTCATTTGCTTCCTTAATCACTTCTACATTGTGGGTACAATGCAAGAATCAAACAATTCTTATTTTGAGTCAGGGGTTGGTACATTCACTGATTCTGCTTGACAAAGATTACTCTCAAGGCCCCAGCTTTATGCTCTTCAAAATAAGGACACCAGATCACCCTATCAGAAAACCATCTCTAACACTAAAAAGCAACCCATCAACCTCAGTCAATGTTGCTTCTTTTGTAACTGAAAATAATTTCTATACAATACACTCTGATCACAGTTTCCCCTCTCCTAATTCCTCCCATATCCTTCCCACCTCCCCATCCACAATGTTTTCTTTTAATTTACATTTATTATCTGACATAGTCTAATAAGTATTCTTGTTTATTGTCCACCTTCTTGATCAAACACTAGTGCACTGTAGTATCCTAGTACTCAACAAGTATTTGAGTGATCAACTAGTCAATTTTGAACTGTTTGAAATAATTTTTCTTCCAAGCAGAGAAATGATAAATTTCACTCAAGGTCTACTATATGATGTTATCTTTTTAATCTATAACAAATGGTAGAAATACAGAGTAGAAACCTTACACCCAGAAAGTTCTAAGAGTTCTTAAAGGGATAATATTTATAAAATTTGCTACAAAGGGAATGTTTATCCATGTCTGAATGATGTAATAATCAGAAGAGACTGTTAATACTAATAGCTCCTTAAATAAATACTGATCTTTAATCCAAGGGCTACCTGGAGAAATGGAACACTGTATATCTGTGCTCTGTTTTTCACAGCAATCAATCCAGAACAGTGTAATTACCATTGTAGGTTCTCATTGCTAGAAACCTGTGTATTAAAATTAATATGAATAAAAAATCAATTTAATTTTCAGTAAATGATTCATAATCTCTCCCTACCAGGTGAGATAAATGACTTTGTATGGCACATTTTCTGATTTAAAATGACTTCTCCTGATTTCTCACAATGACTGATTTTCACTTCAACAAAACTGAAAAGGGAACTAACTCTCCATGGGGCTGAAATCTCTGGAAATTGATTTTATTTTATTAATTTCTCACTCACCATATTATTTTGAATAGCTTTAGATGTCAATTCATTTTAATTTTAATGTTTAATACTAAACATTTAATATATTTAAGTTATTAGACATACTCATAGCCTCAGAACTGTGAAGAAACCCTACCACAAAGTCATCATATTTATAAAGTATGTTTTCTATTAACAGTAGCAAAAGCTATAAAGATAAAGGTGGCAGAAATTAGGCACTCTGTTATTACACACCTTGGTAAGGGGCCGACAGATGCAAAATGTGTACCTGATATTTTGCTTCAATGGAATGAAGTAGAAAAATTAGCCAAAACTTAGCCATTTCAGTTGCTTGTCTGAATCATACAAGACCAGTGAAGCTTTCACTCACACAAAGCAGACCCCCATGGTTTCAGTCCACATATGATGCTCTTCTCTCTCCTTGGCTCTCCTCTTTAAACTGATGTGTTGGGGGCTGGAGAGATGCCTCAGCAGTTTAGAACACTGGCTGCTCTTCCAGGGGTCCTGAGTTCAATTACCAGTAACCACATGGTAGCTCACAACCACCTATAATGAGATTGGGTACCCTTTTCTGGCATACAGGCACACATACAGAGCACTCAATATAAGTAAATACGTTTTATTAAAACTGATGTCTGGGGAGTTTGTTTTGGTTTTGTTTATTTGTTTGTTGGTTGGTTTTTCAAGAGATGTGTTGGTTTTTAACAGTTTTAATCCATAAAATTTCATTCCTGTCCTTAGCCACTTATTATAGCTCACAATCATATCAATACACCATCCCTGCCAAACTCTTTTCATTTGGTTTAACTTTTCAAATATTAAAAGGAAACATGTTATCCATTAGACTATCCACACAATTTGTAATCTAGCTAATTTGCATTATGCTCATTCTATTTCTTATGCAGAGTTTTGAAAAGTTTTTCAAAGCAATGACAACTTTTAAAAGAACAATTTTACTTCCCTTGAGTAATAATCTTTAACAAAACTGCCTAGTAGTTTCCTTTTTAAAGAAATGAGCTACAATTTCATTGATTCAGGAAATATAGATAGGTATAGGAAGCAGAGGGTACATGATCATTCATGTTCATGGGAAAAGAAAATGAGTAACCTTCAGGACTAGTGGTATAGCTCAGTGGTGCAGCACTTGTGTGGCAAATGTGAGGAGCTGAGCAGAATCTTCAGGACCACGGGAGAAAATATATACTGTAGAACAACAATGCAAAAACTGTGAAAACAAGCAGACTTTAGTAGGTGGGCACTAGTTTCTAAAACTTTGTCAGTCTTCCAGCATGCATAGCGGCATATGAAAACACCATTCAAGACAACAGATAGAGAGCCAAGGTTATTATTGCCTTTGCTTTAGAAGATGAAGAGAAACATTCCTGTTTGATTCTCTACACATGATAATCCACATAATGTTTTAAAGAAAACCAGCATGCTACTTCTTAAATATATCTACTTTACAGCCCTATTCTTCCAGCCCCTGGGAATTCCAGACTTCTTTGACAACAAACTCAAGACAGCATAAATGTGAGTGAGCATAAATGTCAAGCTCTATCTTACCTCTGATTCATCTGTAGACTCTTCAAGAGACCCATTTTCCTGCAAACAGAGGAGAGAGGGGGTCAGAATAATAAAAACATTTGCAATGGGAAAGAATCACTGTACCCACCTGCTTTTCTGGAAAAGTCATTTGCAAAGGCATTTTAGAGGATTCCACCTGCTCAACTTTCACACCTCTTTTACAACTTAACACCATGACTGGCCTGGAGGGGGCAGGTGGTAGGATTATGGAGCTCCAAGCTTCTGTTTTCCTCCCTCAAACTCTGAACAAATTACTCCAGGAACTTGCTATGTGGGATCTGAACACTCAGCAAATAGAAACCAAGGGAAAAAGAAACCAACATATTCAATGAGCCAGTTTTTAATAATGAGTCTAAATTACTGTCTTGTCAAAAATGTTAGGGAGGGAATGGGGGGAGGCAGTTTGGGTTTGTTTATTAAACACTATGAAAACTGCCAAGCTTGAACTTCTAATCCTCTTTCCTCTACATCCTATATGCTAAGATTATAGGCATATGACACCAGGTCTGGTTTTATGTCATGCTGAGGATTGAACTCAAGGCTCTGTGTATGCTAGGCAAGCACTCTACAGTTAAGCAACATCCCCAAGCCTAAAACAGTTATTGAAGAAAGAATCTTCCTACAGTGGTACTCATGAAATGTGGTATCAGCCCTTTAATAAACCAGTAACTCTAAGACAAATTCCTCCACTTAGCACAGTTCCCTTCTTGCTGCACAATGAATCTTGCTGCTCTGGAGGAAACAAAGCAAAAAGGAAAAAAATGGACTTGATCCTGCTAATCTCTCACCTGTCCACTGAAAGAGAATCTGCTGATGCCATGCATCCTCAAAGAGGTCAGCAAAATGAAGATTTACTTAACGTACTTATAGATATCAATAGCAATAAAAAGTTACAGCTAATGTGCTGACACTGAATGTAAGCATTTTACAATCCATGAGGTAAACAAAGAGAATAACAAGAGAAGTGGGGTAAGAACATTTTAGATATAACATATTTTTAAGGAAAAAAAAGAACATTTTAAAGAAAGTCAGATATGTACTTTATACTCAATGCAAGACAGATAAAGGGATGAATGTAAATCCCAGTCTCAAAAACAAGTTAATTTTGTGTGGGGGGTGGGGAGCTTTGACACAGGTAATTTCTAGAGGAAGTTTAAGACAAGAAAAATATCATCCTTGTTCATGAAGACCATGTAAAAAATAGAGATGTTACCCGCAATTAAGAATTTTATTATGCATGTGTCATTAACAGGGATAAACCTGTTAATCTCTTCTGCTGGCCCATGAAGTTTATTTGATTTAGCATGACTCATACTTAGAACTCTCATTAGTTTGAAGCTGTAATCCTCCAAAACAACTGGTTGCTCTTACATCTGCAAACCACCAAAAAACAAAAAACAAAAAAGAAGGAAAATAAAAGACAGAAAGAAAAAGAAACCCAATTTCCTACCATTTGACAGTTGTTCAGACAGTTAATGGCCTGTGTTCCACCTACCCTTCTAAACATTTCTCCTCTGCACTAGCCACCCAGTTCCTGGTTTTAGCCCTCCTGCCATCTTGATCTCTCTCTTTCCACTTGTAAAATTAAGTCACTATTCCAACAGAATATGGAGGATAAAAATAATCCAAGTAAGCAGCACTAACTAATTTCCCACAAGCATCCTAAGAAAACACAATGGAAAAGGGCTCGTCATTTATAATAATGCTGAAAGAACTAGGTCTCTGATTTAAAAGAATGAAAGCAACTCAAATGGACAAAATGCCCAAAGTTAAGCTATAATATCCTGACGCTCCATATAGAAATCTTACTTGACATTAGCCTTGGCATTGAGCTCTTGGATATCTCACAAAAATCTAAGGCTATAGATGTAAAATAAATAAATAAATAACACTATATCAAACTAAAAATCTTCTCCACAGCAAATCAGATAATATATGACAGCCTATGGGCTGGGGGGGGGGGGAATCTGTCAGCCATAAACATCACAAAGGGCTTACCTCCCAAACCTTTAAAGAATGCACACAACTCAACAGCAAGAAAACATAGAAACTAATTAAAAACAGGTCCTAAATAAACATTTATCTAAAGAAAACATTTTAAAAATGGACAATTGATATAGTAAAAGGTGCTCGGACTCTATTCTTTTAACTGCTAAGCAAAGCCACTCTATTACTTCAGATAACTGTAGGACAGCTTTGACCCAGAAAGACAAGGGAAGCGGTGAGCTGTGAGGGTCTGTTGCATTGTCTCCTTATATGTGCAATAGAAACAGAGGAAATGTCAAATAGGCAAACAAATAAAGCAGTAGCTACTAAACACAGGGGGATATGGGATGGGTTAATAAGGGTCACAGCACACAAAACAGCAGATATGTAGGAGTAAGTGTTCTAAAGAGCTCAGGTACAAAATAAGGGCCACAGTGGCTAAGAGAATATTCAATGAATGTAAGGATTTTTTTTTTTTGACAGATTGCAGATTAGTTATAGAAAATGAACAATTCTGAGAAGGGATGAGTACCATGTTTCACTATGGTAACCATTTTATTCATATATACATGCATCTCATAGCATCATGCTGTATACATTAAATACACAGTAGATATTTGTTTTACTAGATTTTTACAGTTACTAATCTGACTTTGTTACTGACCATCTATCATATTCTGTAGTGATATATTATTTATGATTTATTTAAACTTGACTGAGGATTCAGAAAAGCAAAGTCAGCCTCAAGCTATAGAGATTGGGCAGTGATGATACACACCTTTAAGCCCAGCAGCCAGAAGCTAGGAGGTGGTGGTACACACCTTTAATCCTAGGACTCAGGATTAAGAGGTAGACAGATCTCTGTGAGTCCAGGGCCACCCAGATTGAATCAGCCCATTCAGCCTGAGGCACAGATAAGAAGCTAGTGGACAGCTGCTTTGCTTTTCTGATATTCAGCTTGAAGCTTAAACCCTAATATCAGTCTCTGGGTGTTTTATGTATTCGTGTTACAATATTCCACTCATACTGCTCTATGTCTATAATATAGCATTTGAAAACTTCTAACGCATTAGGCCAGAATAATGAGGTATAGAGATTGAATTTAATGGTTTCGAAAATATCTCTGATCCCTGAGTTTCTTGAGTATTTAATAGCACTAGCAAAGCAATGTTGTACCGCTTGTGCTAAAAACCTGTGTCTAGTTCTGATTTCCCATATCTAGAGTGCTAAAAACATACTTGGCTACTCTTCCAGAAAAATTACATTAACCCTAAGAATATTTTTTAATATAGAATCCACTCAAATATACATGCTTGGCAAACGGGGTAGTGTCTACTCACATGACTCATTAACATAAATCGTCAACCAATAGAGCTGGCCCAGAATATCAAAATCCAATTTCTTACTTGTCCCACACCAGAAAGAATGCAGTGTCAGAACCTAAGAGTTTCAGTGGCTGGCACCAACTGATAATGTGTGTTTCAGGACTCTGTAAGACCTACCATTAGCATTAGCATAAACCACCTAAACAAAGGACATAGCCTCAACACATCAACACTTCCATCTATGTTATGATAGCAATGCATGATAGACTTCAGACGTTAGCCCAGTATGGTTGCTTAGCTCCATTCTTTGACCAATCCTTTCCACTTAATGTTCTAGAGACAAAGAAGTAAACAAAAGGCATAAAAAATGGAAACACAAGAAACAAGACAAAGCCATGAGAGAGGTTACCATTAAAAACAGCATGGTTTTCAACATTTTTTAGCCTCAAGAAATCTTATTTGAATAATGAAAATATGAGCTAAAACTGTGTTGTTCTCTATGTAATATAAGTCAAACTCACAAAAACACCTCACAAATAATGCATGATTTCATGTATATAAGACAGAAGTAAAATATAGATTATCTGAGTAATGTGGGGATAATAGAGAGTTATTAGTATGTAAAGGTTCAGTGTATAAAAAACTCCAGAGGTGTATGGTGGTGATAGCTGCACAGCAACCTGAATATACTTAATCCAGCTGGATTACATACTTTAAAATGACGGAATTGGGGAACTTCATGTTCAGCTAAAATCTCTATGCTGTTTTGACTGAAGCAAAGGTGTTGGGCTAGAAGATATACACTGGCACAAATGTATAGCCACTCAGACTCTAGGCAGCAAGCTTAACAATAAATTCAGTAATCTACCTTCCTTTCCCAAAGCAATTGCTAGAACTCCAATCATCTATCTAAAGAACTTCACCTATGATGTATACTGGCCCTGAGATATTCATCAGCTGCCCAAAGCACAGATCAGACTGATTTCCATCCTCAAAACTATCACTGATCTCCCAGGCTGAGACTGAACCAGATCAGACGCCCTAGCAAGGCAGGCAAAGAATGATTTCTGGCACCAGGAGACTTCTAGTCTTTCTCTCCTGCCCCTGCACAAATCTATAACCCTCTAGCCACACTAAGTAAACTGTCACTGAGAATCACATGCTCATCTCTCCATGCTAGAAGCAGCAAAGTGACAGGTGGGATTTAGGTGTGACCTACAGAGTGTTGTTTAACCTAGATGATGCTGTTCAAAAACATCCCTATAAAAGTCTCCATTTCCAACTTCATAAAGATAACAATACATCTTCATGGTATCAGTATTTCTGCCTAACTTCAGCTGGAGCTGAACAATGCCAGGATGGAGGGCATTTTACCCTCAACACCACTTCCAGCCTCACTTAGGTCATGGACACCTGTCTTGAGTTTGTGATCCCCAATGAGATTCTCCTTTGAATACTCCCTCCACTTAATCCCAGCTCAATTCCACAAAGATCCTTATGGGTTTCCAGCTTCAAGTAGTGTCTTTAGAACTGAGTGGGGAAGGTGACCTGCTGCTTCAACATGAGATTCACTGTCATGACCCTAATTAGGTTCATGGTACCAATCTGAGATTTAAATGTGAAAAGAACTGGCTATTTCTAAACATTCACTTTCCTTAGCAGCCCAACCTTGGTTGCCCTAGCCAAGCCTGGATCTGGACAATTAATCTTTGTCTTATTTATAAGTTAACTATTTCACTCTAACCACTTTAGTAGATTTGCTTCATAAAAAGTCTTAGAGAATAAATTAACAGGCAAGAAAATGGAGGCACTGAAGCATATAGAAACCTGGTATTTATTTTATATGCATGGAGATATAAAGTGTACCATCTGATACTAGTTTCTAAGATGCAGTAGTGGAAATCAAAATAAAAACACTCTCCTATAGTCGGAAAACAGATGGTTAACTTTGTAGCTGAGTGGGGAGGATGAAAGTACATGAAGGCTAAGAGAAAGAAATGCAGTGAATATAATCCACACCACACCTGAATTAGTGACATCCCAACGTTTTAAACAATACAATGATTTCCCACACACTATACTGGACAGAATCCACAGTATGACAATTTTAAGTGTTCTCCTCCTGCTAGATTCATTTCAGCACTTAGGGTTTGGAAACTAGTAGCTCTTGGGGAGATCCAGACATGAGTAAGCTATAAGTCCTCGTTCTGAGGACTCAGCAATCCTTAGGAGACAAATACACCAACCAGACTTCAAGCAGAGTGTTATTCATGAGAGGTCGGGACAAACACTGTTGGGCATCTGTGACTATGAAAGCCACCTATAAATCGTTCCAGGACTAAGCAAAACTGCTGGTTACAAGAATTCCAGGCAGAATCGTGGCTATTAGCTTTCTATGAACTATAAAACACAAATGTTACTTTTACAAAGCACTTTTCCTATATTCAGCAAAATCAAAGCTTCCATTATGGCTTAAAGACATCTGTTTACCCATACTCAAGCAGTGATTTCTAGCTTTAAACTGTGATTTTTTTTAATAGTATGTTAACTCAGTACAGATGTCACCATTTTGGCTATTCATAAAATTAAAGGGAAACAATGATCAAAGAACACAACACTCAGGAAAGATAAACCAACGGGTTTAATCTTGTGCTATTCATCTTGGAAGGATGTTTGCATTTATAGGACAGGGTACCAAGAACATGCTTTGGCTCCCTCTGTAATTTGTCATGGAAGTTCATTTAATACACATGCCAACACCTAAAAAAATACCCAGGAGAATGAAAAAAAAAAAGATGTTATGATTTCCAAAAATATTTAAGGTGGCAAAACATGAGCACATTTATTTACTTGATTTTTGTGTCCTTTGTCATCTAAAAACTATTTTAACAAAAGCCTACTATCAGATTTGAACAGCTTCTTACTGTAGGTAAAAAATGCATCAATCCAGAAAATAGGGAAAACCTATTCTTGTTTAATCTTCAAAGAACTAATAATATGAATACAATTATTTATGTTCTTTTTAAAGAATCATAATTTTTTTACGAATTCACAAAACAGTTTATGAATGTTTGCTTCTTTCTGCAAATGGACTCCTCGTCTTCTTTAAGGCTACACTGATACCAATTGAGAAAGAAAGCGCTTTTCAAAAGTACATCAGCTGTTAAGCACCACAGAAGAATAAGGGCTAAAAGAAAAACCATCAAGATGATAAGAGTTAATTCCACTTCATAAAGTTCATACATACATATATATATATATATGTATATATGTGTGTATGTATATATGTATATATATATGTGTGTGTATTTATGTATGAGTATGTAAGAATATATATTTATATGAAAAATACATATGCATATATGAAATTTAGATTTAGGTTCTTCAGCATACTTTAAATAGCAAAGTAGTCTAATGAAAAAAAAATGTCAGTTTTGGAGACATGAGACTAAAAGCATAATAGATGTAAGCATGAGAAATTTCAAATTGACTAAATTTCAATTAATTTATCTGTAAATTCCAATAATTTAAATATATTAAGTATAAAGCAATATCCCAATATTGATTATCAGTCATGAATAAATTCTTAGCATGTGGCTTGCAATACTGAAAACACACAAGTAAAATAACAATCTTAAAACATAAGTATTATGCAGAAAATATCAGAAGGTGGTTTCAGAGAATGTGCAGAAGTCTCAATCAGAAAGCAGAATTCCACAGAAGCATAGAGGAAAATAAAGGAGAAAGACCTGTAGATAGCAAAAGTCCTGAGAAGGGCCTGTGTGAGCACAGAGTCTAGGGAGGAAACATGCCTGGCTTATTTACAAAACAAGAAAGGCAGTGTGAGGCAGAAGGGGAAGATCACAGTGGGAAAAGAATTCAGAGTGTTGGAAGCCTTGGCTGCCCTGTTGAGTAATTCCCATATGGGCACTGTTGTACCAGAGTTTGGGATGAAAGGGTTTGAGATGTGGAGGATTTACATGACTTCTACATCAGAATAAACATTTACCTCACACAATTCTTTTTAAGGGGCCAAATGTCATATGACAGGGTTTTTTAAAGCTTGAAAGCACTGTACGAATGTGAAACATCTGATGGTGTACCTGGTTTTCTAATTTTTAACATCAGACAGCTTTGTCAAACTCTTCTGCAGGAGTGGGAACAAAAGGCGTACTCCATTCTATCACACTGGGTCTAATCTAAGAACTTAACGAACTTGGACTTGCTTTTCTACAAAACCACAACTATGTTTCAAAAGAAATGGAAATGCTCAATGTCTCGCAGTAGTCAAACTGAGTAAGGCTGCTGGGAAGGCAAGCTCTGTTTCTCTTTTGACTCTCGGTACAAAAGATAATGTGCACGAATGATGGGGTAAGAGGCTCTTGCTTACAGTGTTCAAACCCATATTCTTCCTAGTCAAATTCCTTAAACTTTTGGCATGCATAAAACAATCACGGGTGTGAATGGTAAAAAGTCTGTAAGTCATTATTTCGTATGACAGTAAACAGTTCATAGCCCTATCACTTCTTAAAGACATCTCAGAAACTTGCAGACAGGACGTTTAACGTAAGAGGGGAAATTATATACGTCAAATTTAAGTGGCACTAGAAACGTAAACTTAAGGAGTCTCTTCCAAGGCCTGGCCTTAGTCCTTTATTTTGTCAGTTTCATTCATTTTGTTCTTTACCCTAATGTGTGGTTATCAGAACGTCTGTATGAAATGTCAGTGATTTCTACTCAAGGCCTCGATGCCACCTTCTGAGTTTCAGGCTGGACGTTGCCATCTAAGTCTTGCCAGCAACAGGGATAATTCCTTAAGCCTTGCATAGCCCATTCTTGACTTGCCTTCTCTGAAAACTTCCACTTAACATAAACCAAAAGGGCTGAGCTAGGCCTGCTCGCATGGTGGGGGTGTGCACGGCGCTATCCACGAGGGGAGGGGCCGCCCCAACTAGCCTGGCCAGGACACACACACCCCCGCCCTCCGCGCCCCAGAGCCCCTCACTCAGATCTCCATGTCCCGCCTGCCCCGAACTAGCTCTGCTAGCATTTACCTGCTCCTCTGCTTCCGCCATAGTGCAGTCTGAGAGTCACATGACATACCCGGAAATAAGAGAAAACAGCCTCTGGCCACAGCCTTCTGGGAAATGTAGTTTTCCTCACACCAGTCCGATTTCTTAGTCAGCTCTCATTTTTTACTAAACAGAATACAGAATTCTGTTTAAGAGAATCATTCATAGATAGATAGATAGATAGATAGATAGATAGATAGATAGATAGATAGATAGATAGATAGATAGATAGATAGATAGATAGATAGATAGATAGATAGATAGATAGGATAGATAGGATAGATAGATGATAGATTATAGATAGAGGATAGGTTTTATTTTGTTGTTGGTATGTGTTCTGTTGTTATTGTGGCATCTATTAAGTGCTTTCTATTCCAGGCTCTAGTTTATAGTAAAACTATGAATTAGCTCATTTAGTCCTCTCAGCAATCCCTACTGTTACCACCATTAACAGGGAAGAACACAGCACCTCAGAGATCTCACTAATCAAGAAGTCTAGGCTTAGAATTCGTCCCTGCCCCATGCCCAAGACTACCATACCAAATGTTCTTCAGGCTAATACTGTTGCTGTGCCCACCCACCCTTTTTAAAAGGATAGTGACTACAAAAGAAAGTCTAAAGTGTTGTCAGAAAATAATGTATATTCTAACAAAGATAAGTTTCTTGGTGCATTAACTTTATGCCTTTGTTTTTAACTTATTTTTTGTACAAATATTTTGCCTGCATGTGTGGCTGTGCAAACTTGTGAGCCGGGTATTCTTACAAGCCAGAGAGCTTATGAGATTCCCTGGAATTAGAGATACAGATCATTGAGAACTACTGTATAGGTGTTGGGAATCAAACTCTGAACCCCTGTAAGAGAAACAACAGCAGTTGACATATAAATATTGAATTTTTAAAATCCCTTTTGTTTAGTTACTTGCTAAACTTACATTGATTGTCTTCGAGATAATATGTAAGTCTGTCCAGCGCCCCTTACCAGCAGGAAGTAGTTTGGAAAGAACGACGCCCAAATTCCCAAATATTGTGTATAAATGTTTGTTTTCATTTAATTGGACTTTGTTATATAAAATTAAATTAAAAAATTATATAAAAAATATGTAAGTCTGACGTTTGTAAACTCTGAAAAACATAATTTAGAAAATTTGACCCTACCCTATGTTTCTGAACAAAATCAACTATCTTTCCTGGTCCTCAGCAATTCATTCATTGGTCCAAAGGCAGCCACTGCCAGCTCATAGAAGGTAGCACAATTGGTGTGTGTGGTGGGTGTCACGTACTCAGTACTATGTTCTTCCCCTAGTCTCTGGGTATCACTTTCTCCACCCATTTTCTTCAGTGGCCCAGAAGTCATGATGTCATCTCTCAGACATTTGGATTTCCCCAAAGGCCTAAACAGTGTCCAGTCCATGCTGGGATCCCTCTTCCAGCCTGTTCCTCACTCAGCTCATTTAGACACCCACAGGTAAAAATCCAAGACCATGTCTAATCTAAGAGTTTCTCACACTTGTTAAGCAGCTCAGGACCAAACAGCACTCATGATGGATTTCAAGCCACAGAAAGACCTTTTGAGAATTTCTCCTTAGCAGGAGCCTAGGTAATCCCCAAGACAACTAAACTTCCAATTCACCAACTTTTCCCTGAGAAACCAGTGAGTTTGTAGAACTTACTTTCGGAGCCTGGGTAAAGGGCTACTGTCAGGAGCACAGGTGACCCCAAAACAGCTGCACTGAAAAGTTTTCACCCTCCAAGAATGAAGGCTTAACCGTAACAACAGAAAGCTCCATTCTCCTTGTTTCCCCCCAGCCTATGTACTTCAACCTCTCCCAGAAACTATGAGGTCTTGTGCAATTAGGACAGACAAGCATAATACTGTCTGGGAAGAGTGGCTGCACACTCAGGTGAGGGTAGAGTGAACTCCCTACCTCCTCCTGGAATGCCAACAGTCAACAAACACAGTTGTGATGATCTTTGCAAGCAGACACAGATGGTCTTATGAAGATGGATATTGTTAGAATCAGAGGCCAGCCCTGTGCCACAAGCCTTCCACACAGCAGACACAGAGAAAGCCCTACATTTAGCACCCAGTGGAAATAGAAAGAAGCCTAGATCTTTGGCTCTTCTAATTTTCTTCACAAGCCATGATTTCCTCTTTTCCCAATATGAGCTGCATCCACAGAAACTGGGGACACTGCAGCCTCTTCTGACTGAAAGAATCCTGTTTTGATCAAACACTCAGGGAAGAAGAAAGAAAAATTCAGGATTGTTATCATTTTTTTTTCCTTGTTGTACTGTTTAATTTTGGTGGAAATCAGTCATACCTAAAAGGAGTGATTAACTGCTAGGAAAATCACCACTGAATTCCCAAATAAGGTTTTGTCTTTGTTCTAGAAAACTGACAACTGTGTTTGATCCACTTCAAATTTGAGGATTTTTTGTTTATTTAAGTTTGTATTTTAAGACCAGATCTCACTACACAATCCTAACTGGCTTAGATCTTGCTATGTAGAACAGGATTCCCTTTGAACGCACAATTCACAGCTTCCCAAATGCTGGTATTAAAAGCATGCATCACTGTCAGGAGCTGTCTTTGTGGGGCTGCAATAGAAACCAGCCCAGTGGCCCCAAGTCTGTACCTGAGTGGGGGTATGTGGATGAGGGATAGAAATTCGGACCTGAGTGGGGGTGTGTGGGTGAGAGAAACGCTAGCTATAGACGATAAAGAAAAGGCAGAGACACAGAATAAAAGTCAGGAGGACAGATCAGTCAATACTGAAATGCCACGAGTTTACTTTTCACCACTCTTATATACCTTAACAAAAAGGGGGAACACAGTATCATGTAAACAAAACAAACAAACTTTTCTTTCTCACTTATTCTAAGGGTTCAGTAACCACACTTTAGCTTCAACTTCTTGTTCCCTAGCTTTGAGGTCAGGAGTAGCCACACCTTAGATTCAACTTCTCCTTCCCTAGCCTTGAGGATCAAGAGTAGCCACACCTCAGATTCAGGTCTGTTGTTATTTATACTAAGACAGCCAAACATCCTACTGTAGCCACACCTTTGACCTTTAGGTCTTATGACTTGCTGAGGACAGCTTTGAACTCTCTGTCCTTGTGCCCCAATGGAGTATAACCATCTTTATGGGCACCCACACATCATCATACCCAACTCTCAAATTTTGATTACTTCATAGTCCTGATACACACACACACACACACACACACACGCACGCACGCACGCACGCACGCACGCACGCACACACACACACACACACACACAGAGAGAGAGAGAGAGAGAGAGAGAGAGAGAGAGAGAGAGAGAAGAAAGGTCTCATTCTGGTGTTATGTTGTTGGCAGAACTTGGAGCTGGAGCCTCAGGTTCCTCTGAGGGCTGGAGATAGGCATCAGTGGTTAAGAGTGTCTGCCATCACCATCTTCAGGACTCAGCCTCGGCAGGCACATATGCATATGCTCCATGCTCACCTAGACACACAGACACAAATATGCTAAGTAAATAAATAATTTTACAGTAAGCAATAAAAGGCCCAAATCAGCCAGGGCTATTGCTTTGATTTCATTGCTGATTTTCCTGTCTGTCTGTCTGTCTTTTGTTATTTTTTCTGTTTGTTTGTTTTTCCCAGCATTTAGAGCTCTTGGTTTGTATGTTGAATGAGTTCCCTCTAAAGACTCTTTGAAGGACACATCCCTTTCATCCACTACACGGATTCTGCTCTTAAAAACAATGTAATGAAGAACACTCTATGGTAATCTAGGCAAGCAAAGCAGAAAGCCGGTAATAAGCTGTGGCCCATGGTGGACCTCTTTTCTTCCTCAAAAAGGATGTTGTGGGGTGGACTGAAAAAGCAGCTGAAGATGGCTGCAAATTCGTCTCTACTCACCCAACCCCAGAGAGCCCTAAAATAATGTTCTCAGCATCTTCTGTCTTTGATATAATAAAATACAGTGAACATGAGATCCATTAGGCACAGGGAAGATAGGAGGCACAAGCATGCAAAGTTGAAACCTATTACAGGCCAGGCTCATTCTCAGCTACTAGGCAGAATGAAATTGGCAAGGGACCTCTGAACTCCAAGTTTTCTCCTGTGGTAGTTTGAGTTTCCTTTATCTGAAAGGTCCTCGTGCAGCTTCTTGCTACACAAACTACTCTCCAGATGTCATCTGGGGCTTTGTTAGGACAAAATGAGTGAAGACCTTTTGTGTGAATCAAAGAGCAATTATTGAATTTCAATAAAGATTATACATGCATAGGTAAAAGTTTGAAAAGTGCTTGATCTAGCAGTTATTAATTCTATGTCAGATTGCTTAATTAATACACATTGTTCATTCATCCTTTCCCTTCAGAGATGGGGATAAAGACTAGGTCCAACTCCTCCTCCTTCTTATACAGAACTTGAAATTTATTACATAGTGTTAGCAACTAGACCTCAGCTTTTGTATTTATAGAGTAGCTTGCTGAGTTTAAAGATCTGTCTTAAAAGTTATCCCTGTAGGTTTGAAACAGTGTAGTAAATTATGATAGCTATTCTATTCATAATAACTTTATCTCATTTTAAACAATATGAATGACTTCAGCGTTGACCCTTATGAAATACTGCCTCTATGTTTAGCAGTAAGAGCTCATCAAAGTGAGAAGATGACTTTTAAAAAGTATCAGCTTTGGAGCCTTTCTGAAAAACTAACAGTTTTAAGAAACCACCCCAGTCTTGAGCCTCTATGTCTTGTTACCATGGCCTTCCCCTCAAGGTTCTTTTTTTTCTGCTCAATTTATTTTGGAGAGATGATATCAGGCTTCAGATTGTTACCTTTTCCATCCTAAGATCTTTAAGATGAAATGACAAACAAACTCACAGAATATTACCTTACCTGCTACAAACAGTACCCTTTTATCCTTTCTTTAATTTACTTTCCCCTAAAATGACTAAAATAGTATTGATGTTATCTTTAGTGATAATAAGCCTCAGTTTATTTGACATTTCATTTTTCAAAGATGGAACCCACTGAAACCTTCATAGTCTGCTACTATAAGTGTTACATTAATATACAG